TTATCCATATTTATACCTTTTTCTTATGTCTAAGTATCGATATTTTAGTACTATAGTATGAATGGATATGGGCTTGAGCAGGATGAGCTTCCGGTGAGCAAATATCTTTTTTGGCACAAAAAGTCAGTAACGAGGTTTTGCAGAACAATAAGTTAAGTATGTTATTCGAGTAGTCACTCACAAGTATCTCATTTAACTGACCACAATTAGATAAAGTCCACTCTTCTTCCATACTTTCGGCAGCGTATAAATATTAATATGCCTCTGGCGTGGTTCCCTTTCGAACCAACTGATATAATTATTTAATATTTGATAGCCAAGAATTTGTGTTGGTCCATTGGCTTTATACAGTGTTCGTAATGTTTTTAAATCTTCGAGATTGTTTAATGTTATTAAGTATTTTGCCATTTTTATATTTATTTGCCTAACGAATGATCGCTAACTGTACTCTTCAAATTACAGTTTGTAACTGAATTGTAGCTGTTTGAGAAAACAGTGTAATTCCAATGCGATGCGATGAATTGAGAGCGCTGAGAAGCACAACTGGGTGCACTTTTTGTTACGAGTATTTACATTCACTTTTATTACAGTCGCTGTATTATTTAATTCCACGCGATAAATGTATTTGATGGGAGTGAGAAAGAATTAACCCTTCCGCGATATTGTTGCCTGCCATTTGACAACATCAAACTCTGGGCAGCGAAAGTATTTGTACAAGGGTATTATAACTTTATTCACATAACGGTTGTTTGTAACAACCAAACCGAATCGAGATAGATATACTCATATTGAAAAGAGAAATCGATTAAGGCCTATTTTTCTGTCCGTGTGCACGATAATTCGAGAAAAAGTTGAGATATGTCAACGAAATTTGGTAAGTAGGTTCCCTTGAAAATGGGAAAAATCGGACAATAACCGCGCCCACCTCGCCCATATAACGGTTTATGCGAACTATGCAAAAACTAGGATATTTCCACAAATACTGGATCAAAATTGTTGAAAGTTGGTTTGCGATGTAGAATGTTGGCATAAAATAAGACAGTTATGAAATCTTTGGAAAGTGGGCGTGGCACTGCGCCAATCCCCACCAAACTCGCTGCGAAAGCCTCACTAAGAAACCTGTTGAAAATGTTTGAAATCAGACAAGAACCACGCCCACCTCCCATATAACGGCAATTTACAGCTGCATCTCCAGGAATTGCCTGTTAAGCGCCTGCACGCCATCCGTACTTTCGTAGCTTTTGTATGGCCGCATCGCCGTGAGATCTCCACAGAAGCTTCGAGTCAAGGATTGGACCTGTATATTTAACCTCGGCGGGAACATTAACTTTGACCTCATTCAGAGTTACATTCCTCATATTTGAAAGTTTCCTTTTCTAGGGCACTATGGCTGCCTTGGAACTCTTCGTTAAGTTTAGACCTTTTTGTATTAAATATATCGCAGAGGGTACTTTCGAACTTTCCTCTGGCTATTATTACTATGTCATCCACGTACTCCTGGTATCGGATGCCATTATTCGAGAGGATTTTTAGCAGTTCGTCGACTACCAAGCTCCACAGTAGAGGTGACCCATCCTCGCGGGCATCTTTTTGTTGGTTGCACCTGTACTACGCTGTCCACAATTTCAGTCTCAGCGATTCTTTTTTTTGGAGCGGTAGAGCTATCCACCTTCGTATATTTCGTATAGACTCCATAAAGTGATCATCCACGTTACATCTATGAAAAAATTAGATGATTTGATAAGAGATCTGGAACAATGTAATGAATCTGAAAAAAATTGGCTTCTAGATTAAACGAAAACATTTATTAGCGCATGGTGCAAAGGTGACTTTCTATCGTACAAAAGAGGCAGGCTTGGTACCATTTTTTTATTCAGAAAATTATATTGTTTTTGGTTTAGATGTGGAAGGCCTTATTCTGAAAATGGGCCTGCCAGAATATCGTAAATCCACTTTTAGTTTTAAGAGATACAATTATATCGGCCCCTTGAATATAAAGCTGGTTCTACGCACTGGAGTGTTTCGGGTTTTTTTTTCCGACGAAGGCCTGTTTTTTCGGCGACCTAAACCCGTTTTGATGAGTTTCGCCGATCTAGCAATCAGTCGTTTTTCGTCCATAGAGCAATAACTGATAGCTGGATTGCTCCGCTTTCTCCTTCTGCCTGCGGACATTGAGCCCAACCCCGAACCAGAAATCTACTGCTGCGTCTGCCAGAGACGACTTCATCCGAACTTTACTTCGGTTAGGTGCAACACGTATAACGTATGAAGCTATCTAAAAATCTGCTCAGGCCTTTGGTCTCGCAGGGAATGCACCACAAACTTTGTAGCCTCCTGTTGCTCAACACGGCTGCAAGAAGCTCAGAGGAGCAACACACCGGGTGTCCCCAATTGCAGAGTTCTGCAGACGCAGACATCCACACAATCATTCACTACCAGGCAGCAACAACCACAGCGGTAAGCGTTCCCATATCGCGACCAGCCTGCAAAGGTGTACGAAACTACTCCAACTGAACTGCAATGAACTCCTGAGCAAGACCGGCGAGATATCCGTCTTTATGGGTCCACAAGACATACTGACAGCTGGGAGTTAAGAAACGAAGTTGCACAGCAACTCCACATTGTTTTTCTCAACTTCTCCTTTTTATTTGGCACTGTTAGTGCCTAAGAGATTTTGGCCGAGTTCCACAAACCACGCTAGTCTTTTCTAACCTGTGCCACCTGAAACCAATTGGGAAGGTCAACTGAATCTTCCTCAAAATCTTTCCCTCGAACATTCCAAGAGCCGCCTCGTTGGACGTTGTCATTTTCCAAGCTTCTGAGCCATATACCAGTACGGGCATGATGAGTGACTTATAGAGTGTGATTTTCGTACGTCAAGCGAGGACTTTACTTCTGAGTCGCCTACTCAGTCCAAAACAGCACTTGTTGGACTCGATGCTGACATTTTTATCGTTTTTAATGCTGGTTCCCAAGTAAACGAATTTCTCTATATTCTAGGTGTTAACATTCGTTGCGTGCGGACGTGTTTTTTATCGCTCTCGGTTTTCGCATAATTGCCAATGGGTTCTATGATTTTATTAGTAACGAATAGATTATTAAAGCTTAATGAACTTTCTGCTGTTTTCGTGCATACATTTTTGAGACGGTGACTGTTGTATATTATAAACAAATAATAAAAGACGTTCCAAATCAAAATGCCTTGCTGCTATAACCATAAGGTTGAGTGTTCGCAACCCAAAATCCAGTACGCAAAGTGCAATGAACTATTTCATTTGGAATATGTGAATATTTTGCCGGCAGACGCTGATTTTTTGCTTAACTCAGAGAGGCCTTTTCTGTGCAAAGTGTGTGCTGATGCTCGGCGAAAGTCTTTTCGCTTTTCGCCTCCTCCTCTTATTCTTAATGAGAGTGTTGTTGCTACTGCAAAGAAATCGGTGCCCAACGCAATAACAACCGCCCACAGCAGCACAAAATTCCTAAAACTGTCTCGCCTAAACAACTAACCAGTAGAGTTAGAGTGGGTCTTTCGAAGAAGCCAACAATAACATTAATCTAAACTTAGTGCTAAAAGAGACTGCTACTCTTAGGGCAGAAAATGCCCGTGCCGTTTCGCTAGTTAATACACTCCATGAAGTTAAGAAGTGTATGGTCAACAAAATCGAATGCTTGCAATCCGAGCTTCACTCGCTAAAGAGAAACTTCACTATGAAGAGATTGTCTCTGCAATTACAATGCTCACGGCCGATAACAAAGATCTTCGCGTTAACGTTTAATCTGTTGTTACCAATAGCAAAATTGCTTATGAAAAATCATCGTTGTCGCAAATATAACTGCCTTTTCTATTGGTAATTCTGCAGGTGTGAATGCCGCTGCTGCAGTTCGTGATTTTCGTGACAAAAAACTCAACAGATGTGCTGGTTCTTCCCTAGGTACTAATTCAGCCGTATCGAACAATTGTTCCAGTTTCTCGTCGGTTCCGGTTGCTAATTTTCCTCCGCCTCGTATGGGCTCTGATGGGCAAGTTGAGCCAAACAACAATAGTTTGCCCGTTTCCCAAATCTCAGAGTGGTTTACGGTCGGTATAAAAAGAATAAAAAATCAGGAGCGGTGCAGAAACCGTCAATATTTTACAAAATGAAATTTTAATTAAAGCAAAAAAAAAAATTGTGTGGAACTTTTGAACAAAAATGTAAGGAAAAAGATATCGTAATGCACGCGAGGGTATGTTTTACTATTTGCTTAAAAATGAGCCGTATCAGGGAAAACGGGCAGACGCTACATGCTGGCTAAGGTGCTCGAAAGGAAGGCACGGATCCTCTCAGTATATCTTCTAATAGTGGTTACGGTGATCGCCTCAACTGTAACTTATACATCTCTTGCTGCTTATTCAAATCCGCCGGTTACCACAAAGCTCGCCGCAATCACGTTCAGGGAAAAATTTTTGGTTATTCTATTTTTCTATTTTTTTAATATTTTTAATTTAAACCGCTCCTGGAGTGACTTGTTTGTTTGTGATAGTTCACAAATATACATTTATACGAACACAAGCAAACATTTATTGGATAGGCTGTCTCTCTTTGATTGCGGAATAAAAATACATTGTTAAGATATGTTACTATCAATATAGAAGTATTACATATATTAGTCAAGTGAAGTGAAAAACTTCAACTGAAGTGAAGGCGGTAGCACTGTTGCTGTTTCGCTATTTTATTTTGCTTTTGAACATATAAAAAAACCTTAAAATCAAAAACGGTTAAGTTTTGGGCATTATGTCAAATAACCGAATCAATCAGAAATGACCTAGATAATAATTTTCTTAAATATATAGGACGACTTTCCAGAATTTTTAAGTAAACATTTATTTATTAACTTTATCATACATCTTTCACCACATACTCACTAATTACTTACAGTCTTTGACATTGAGTAACTGCACTGATGGGGCCAAAATGGACCCCGCGATATAAGTAAAGAGTTAAAGTGAACATAAACCACCCATCGTTCAAACTCAGCCGGCTTTACATATGTACATATATACTATATGGCACGATCAGTAAAAATTGAAAAGCCGTGGCGAACATTTGAGCGGCATTACGTTGCACACAGAATTATTTACTTAATACTAGGTCACACACAGCTGATTTACTTCCACTTTAGCAACGAGTCGTGCGTACTGCAAAACTCCTATATAAAATCTCTATCATTTACTTTTGGAAAATTAATAAACCCAATAAAAAAAAAACAGTTCCGCTACAATTTGCTTCTGGCCTTCTCCGATTTTTCAATCCAAGCTGCACCGTTTGCCGGATGGTAGGCGTGTATTATATGCGTCACTCCAACTTGTTCAAATTTCAATTTCTTACACAACGCTATCGATGGTTCATTATGCTCGTGAATCATGGCGCGCACTTCGTCACCGCTGCCACAAATGTCTTGTATCAAAGCTAGGCAAAGTAATGAAGCTAAGCCATATCGCCTAAAAGCCGGCTTCACATGCAATATGCCGATAAAGCCACTTTGGCATCTGGAAAATAAAAAAAAAACTAAATACTTGTACCAATTCAGTTTCTTAAATTCTTACACACCTTATACACCAAGCCACCAATTCGTGCGAGTTTTCAGTATACACGCCAATGCTCTTGTTGTAGATAATCAGGCGTCTTATGATTTCGAATGTGCCTGCGTTACTGGCATGCCAAAATTTATTGATCAACGTAGTATCGGCGATATGGAGAGCGCGCATTACGAAGCCATGCGGGCAACTGTGTACATAAACCAAAAATATATAATTATTTATATGCAGCCATTTTTCAAATTATTACTAGTTTATTCATGCATATTTTTGTGTGTTTAATTTACCTCGCTTTCACACTCAATGCTTTTTCTCTTGCTAGCTGATAGATGTTGAGACGTATAGCCTGCCATGTCAATTGCATTTTCATTCAACAGCTCGCGCACAGTACCGTTGTAGACATCCGGTATGGCAGTGATTTTGTAGCCTTGCGACCAGTCAAGCAATTTTAACGCCGTGCTCAGAAGCAATTTGGCATCCTTAACAGGCAGTATATTCACAAACAGCTGGAAACAATCCTAACCAATCAGAAAGGCATTAAAGTGTCAATCACTATTTATGCAGTCGATGCAACATTTTGTTTTCTACCCCGCCCACCCTCTCTCTCGACTTGTAAACGCATGAAACGCACCACAATCAAATGCAAGCCATTGCAGCGCCACTGTTCGCCATCGTCCAGCGTGTAGATACGCACGTGCTGCAGCTGCTTATCGCGTTCATGCCATTTGATGAAATTGTCCAGCGTGTAGTAGCCGAGTGCATTTGCCGGCCAATTCTGCCGATAGAGCGTTCGCAGCGTTTTAGTATCTTCAATTTTGTTGAGTGTTATCAATTTTTGCTTTATTACTCTGTTTGCACTGCAACTGGTGTAGAGTGTAAACATCGTCGTGGAATTTTTGTAGGTGTGTGACTTGCTTGATCTTCGGTTGAGTTATGATTAAAGACAATAATTTTCATGTTGCATTTATAATTAAAATTAAGTTATTTTTTGTAAATCACTTTCCAGCTAATCGGTGCAATAAATTTTGAACTTTTTAGAAATATGCGAGCAGGTAATTATATTTTACTTGAGTCGTGGCTGAATGCAAGTTTGCAAAATATTTTTTATGTAAAAAACAAGTTTTTTCATCTCGCTTTCGTCAAAGTTAGATAACTGATCTCAGGGTCAATAAGGGTATTAAGAAACGAGAATGAATTGAGAGTGAGATACAAAAAAAAATAATATATATTGTAAGTCAGGCTAAAATTTTGCACACAGCTTAATTTCATACTAATTGTTTTTTGTTTAATTTTTATACCCGAGCGCACTTGTGCACAAGGGTATATTAATTTTGTTCACATAACGGTTGTTTGTAACAGCCAAAACGAATCGAGATAGATATAGACAAATGTATACATAAATGATCAGGATGAAAAAAGAAATCGATTAAGCCATGTCTGTCTGTCCGTCCGTCTGTCCGTCTGTCCGT